GGTGGCTCACGCCTGTAATACCAGCACTTTGGAAGGCTGAGGCAGGTGGATCACGAGGTCAGAAGTCCGAGACCAGCCTGGCCAACATGGTGAAACTCCATCTCTACTAAAAATACAAAAAATTAGCTGGGCGTGGTGGCCGGCACCTGTAAACCCAGCTACTCAGGAGGCTGAGGCAGGAAGATCACCGGAACCTGGGAGGTGGAGGTTGTAGGGAGTGAAGATCACGCCACCGCACTCCAGCCTCGGCAACAGTGCGAGACTTCATCTCAAAAATAAAATAAAAATAAAAAAAGAAAAAGAAATTAATAAAAGTTGGAAAATGGAAACAAGTAATAATGATTGTGTTATTAGGTTGGTGATTTAACCACATAAAGAAGAAGTATTGCAAATGACTCTAAAAATAATAGTATTTGACAGTATATCCTTACTGGGATATATATCCTAAGGACTAAAAAAAACCATGAAGAAGGCCGGGCGCGGTGGCTCAAGCCTGTAATCCCAGCACTTTGGGAGGCCGAGGCGGGTGGATCACGAGGTCAAGAGATCGAGACCATCCTGGTCAACATGGTGAAACCCTGTCTCTACTAAAAATACAAAAAAATTAGCTGGGCATAGTGGTGCATGCCTGTAATCCCAGCTACTCAGGAGGCTGAGGCAGGAGAATTGCCTGAACCCAGGAGGCGGAGGTTGCGGTGAGCCGAGATTGCGCCACTGCACTTCAGCCTGGGTAACAAGAGTGAAACTCCGTCTCAAAAAAAAAAAAAAAAAAAAAAAACCATGAAGAAATGTTAAACTGCATTCAATCCTCTATAAATCCAGATAGACTAGATGATGTTATTTTGTGGTAACAAATAAAGCCAAATCAAGGTGCCTTCCACAACAAAGCTTCTGTTCTTCCATTACATGTTTATGGCATGTTGGCTACAGCTCTGATCCACGTTGTCTTCTCTCCATGACTCAGGCTGGGGGAAAAGCACCTGCCTGGAATATTGTGATAGTCATCGAGACAGAGAAAAAAGATACTCAGGCTCTTAGACCTTCTTCCTGTAAATGACCAATGCCATTTACACTCTCATTTTATGGGCCAAAGAAAGACGCACAGCCTGAGTCCAAAAGTGCAGAGATGTATAACCCTCTACAGAGACTGGCACCAAACATGAGTGAGCAACGATACAGTCTCAGACAGAGGAAACTGTTGGTATTATCCTTATGAAACTATCCTCTGCATATTGCAGGATCAGCAAATGTGTGCTTTTACTCACATAATTATGAACCAAGATTTTTTAGCACAAAAGAAGAGAGACAAGTAAAAACTCAAAATGAATTAAGACTCTGTAATCTAAGGTTTTAACTGGAAATACAGATATGAACTCATAACTTATCTTTCCCCAGAGAGAACTGTTTGCCTTTTGCCAGGGTAATTTTGAACAAGGGGAAAGTCCATGAATCCACCCCTTGTTTATTTTTCTGGTTCTCAATTATAACTCTGGCTAGAATGCATAATTGGGATGAATATAGTTAACAGATAACAGACCCCTCACATTGGTTCCCTGGCTTACAAGTTAAAAGTCATCTGGGTAGGAGGGGCCATGCGGAACCTACCCCTTGTCCTGGCCAAGACAGTAACTCAGAAGCAATAGTTCATTTTAAGAGGAATTACAGAGATTACTGCTACTTTTGAGGACTTAAAGAATGCAGGAATAGTGGCTCCCATCACACTTGTATTCAATTCACTTTTTTAGCCTTTGCGAAAACCAGACACCTCATGGAGGATAGTGGTAGATTACTGTCAACCTTACCAGGACGTAGCCCTGTTGCAGCGCAGCTGCTCTGCCACTGGTGGTACTTCTGACACTTGATTTATGGCTGTTGATATGGTGAATTATTGCTTTTCCTTATCCCTAATAACAGGGGGGTTGAAAGCAGCTCTCCTTTATATGGCAAGGAAAGCAACAGGCCTTCTCTATTGTCCTCCTGTTGAGAGATGCGTTGGTGCAAAAGAGGTAGGTGCCATGGGAGTCTGGGCCACCCGTTCATGCCATTTGCTTGTACCTTCTGTATTTGGTCAGGCCACATCCTGACTGTGTCATTTTTATAGTACAGTGGATTACTGCTATATCCACCCAACTGCATGACTCATTGGATTCATAATACTCAGATCACAATGAACATCTGTGGTGCCGTGTAGTCATTTGGCATCCCATGGTCAGGCATGTAATCTCTGGCAGGGCTTGAGAACACACCAGACTCAATGCGTGGCCTTGCTGAAGAACCCTCGGGATCTCTGCTGCATCTCTCTTGCTGAAGTTTATTAACACTCCTGCAACATTATCACCTGCATGGATACCTCTAGTACTATTGGATCTGCTGGGTCATACCTCCTAAGTGGCAGAGAAACTTGTACTGCTGCTTGGACATCCTGGAGAGCACCACCTGAAACTGATATCCCTCTGAGCCACTCAATAGGGCTTGGTTATATTCATGATCTAGCATTAATACAAAGTTGACCCTAGCCAGAAATGGACTTTGCCATATGACAGCCCCACATAGAAATAGCGGTGGAGGGAAATCAGCCCTGTGGGCAGAGCTGCCAGCAGTAGGCTGCTTGCTGTGTGGAAATGTGGACTCCTTAGCTCTGCTTGTTGGTCAGGGGTCTGGAAGGAAAAAGACAACAGTCCCTGTACCACCTCCAGTGTCCCAACCCTGCAAGGTGTCCCTGAGCTGGCCTTTTACCTGAGACTTCCCCAGGTCATTCTGCCATCTTTTATCTTGCAAGTGGTCTCTGGGTGATGAAGTACGTGTAAGACTACTTTATCTTGTGGCTTTGAGCCCAATGTGTCATACCTGGTTTTCCCTACAGTGCTTCTACCAGCACTGCCATCTGAGGGTGAACAGAATGTCTCATCTGTTGACATGATACCCTACATTACATTGTCACAGACCAAAGAGTACATTCTACTACCAGGCAGGTATGACACAATGAGCTCAAAACCACAGGATATAATAGTCGGCCATGTACCTCACCCAGAGACAGCTAGCTATATATTAAAAAAAAAAAAAAAAAAAAAAAAAGGTGTGATGGGCTGATACCGTCTCAGCTGAAGGGCCAGCTTGGGACAAATGTAGGGTCACCACACTGAATATGCCACCCACGTTGAACCGGAACCGATGCAAGTGCTGAAAGCACAACTGACTTCTAACACTCCCAGTGAAGACGTTGCAGAATTTTAGCTGCTTCTTCCTGCCACCCTAGATTCTGTTGGATTAAAGGTCTTGGTACTTAGGTGGGAACATTTTCACCTGGGTACATAGTAAGGATTCCACTAAACTGGAAGTTGAACAAAATGAGCAGTGCAGAAGGGAGATGATAAACACAGATTTTGGCCACTGGACCAGCAGCAGCAGTGAGGACCGTGACTTTGTTTGCTAAACAGTTTTAGATCTCTTGAGGAGACTGCAACTGGCCATCGTCTGGAAGAACTAGGCTTGTACCTCCCCTCTAAGGAAAGAAGTATGGGTGATTTTTCCCACATGAGATCTGAATATCGCAAAAGGATGTGAGCAGGTCTAAAAACATGAGGCAGAAGGGGTGGATGTACCCAGTCAGGCACTCTCTGAGGTCCGCTTGGTCCCTATACCAATGGGTCTTGGCCATTTGCCTTGCTTCCTGGTCAATGCAGCCCTAACCATCACTCACACTGTTGTTTTGGTTGTAAAGCTGTGCCCAGAGCCACTACCACCAGCACATACTGAGGAGTCCCCACACACAACAGTGAGTGCCAAGGGAAACCACCTTGACAACACGCTGGCTGCACAGGCCACATGGAGATGCTGGCTTCCCCTGCAGCCGTGATGGGAGCACAGAAATACAACTCAGGGATGGAGAGGAGATAACAGAATGTGGGATGCTGCATGGCAGACCGTGCTGAGATGCAGTCTTTCCATGCCTTCTATGTCAAGAGGCTGTGAGCATCCAAGCAATTGGCTGCTTATTGGGAAGCTGTGGCCACCTGGGAACTCCTCCCTTTGTACTTCATCTTCCCCTCTGCCTCACTTCCCATTTCTTTTAAACCTCCCTGCTTTCCTGGGATTGCACTCTTCCCAGTAAACTGTTAGCACTTACACTTTTGGCTCAGCCTGTTTCCTAGGGAGCCAGGACCAAGACACAGGGCTGACGACAGCTCTGGAGAAAGACCTGCACAGAATGAGTTTGAGCCATTTTATTGCACCTGATAGCAAGGAAGTGATGAAATATTAATGGTGTCAAGTCAAAAGGACACAGGAGCCAATTTGAAGGGCTCCCACTGGCCAAAGATGGCACAATTTGACATCAAAAGAAACTGACTGCAATGGATTTAAACACCTCAAATATATTTTTAAATTGTGAGTTCTTAATAATATAAGAAAAAAATCATTGAATACTAGTTCACTGACTTAGTACTCTGAAAGATGATTAAGAAAAAGACATGGATATGTATTATGTCTTTTCTGTAATAATTATTTCAGAGTTACAAATAGTCAAGAGGGAAAATTCTTCTTTGTAGAAAAATTCTACCTAATAAATGCAGAAGGAATGATAGATTTGGAAGATCAGCGTTTTGCAAACCTGAATGAGATAATGGACCAAGCAATGATCATCAATAAACACTGACATCATTAGATAAAAGGTTCATAAAGAACTTGATAATGGCAAGAGGAAGCTAACATCTCTGAACCCACAGATCATTCTCAATGTTACAGAAAGTGGGAGAAGCAGATAGTCTGTTTCTGCAAAGTGATGCAAGAGAAGAAACCACCCATGAATGTAATCAAGTCAAAATCTAATTATCAGTTTGCAGGAAATTCGGGAGACAGAGGAACAAGTTCAACAACAACTCAGTGATGCCAACAGCCAAATTCAGAATGTGAGAAATTTCACAGGGGGACAAATGACTCCGTTTTGTCAACACATAAATGTGATACATGAACTTTGTTTAGCTCCTGATTATGAGACCAACTGTGAAAAGATATTTTTGAAGCAATGGGGACATTTGAGAATAGTATGACACATTTTTAAGGAATTTCTGTCAATTTTATTGGGTATGATAAAGGCATTATTGCCATTTTTAACAGTTCTTGTTTATTATAGATGTATACTAAACTATTTTTAGGTGAAACAATATGGTTTCTGGGACTTGCCTTAAAATACTCCAGAAAAAAATCAGAGAAAGATGAAACAAGAATGGAAAAATATTGGTAATTGTCGGAGTTGAGTGATGGGTACCCTTCTCCCTACCTTCCCGTGTATGCCCTGGTTCTTCCACTTTTGCCCCCAGGTCCATTCCCTGCCCTTCTGTGTCTTGCTCTGAGGCCTGGGAAGCCACCTTTATCGATGGAAACACGCAGACTACTTTGTTGGCTGGTTTCTGGTAGGTTGAGCCAATGGTGGTCACCAGAATTAGATCAGGAGTAGGAGAAGGAAGAGCCAGGGAACTTATCCCCCATATGCCCTCTCTGCCTTCCTGTGGTCTGACAGTAGCTTTGTTCCACTATAGCAGCTGTATTAGTTTGTTGGAGCTGCCATAACAAAGTAGCACAGTGTGGCTTAAACAACATAAATTTATTTCTCACAATTCTGGAGACTAGAAATCCAAATACAGGTGTGAGGAGGGTTGGTATCTTCTAAGGATTCTCTCATTGGTTTGCACATGGCCATCTTCTCCCTGCATCTTCACGTGGTCCTCCTTTTGTGCATGTCTGTGCCCTAATCTCTTCTTATTAGTACCCTAGTGGCCAGGCATGGTAGCTCATACCTGTAATCCTGGCACTTTGAGAGGCCGAGGCACGTGCATTGCTTGAGCCCAGGAGTTTGAGGCACCCCTGGGCAACACAGTGAAACCTCATCTCTACAAAAAAAATAAACAAAATTAGCCAGGCATGGTGGTGCGCACCTGTAGTCCTGGCTACCCAGGAGGCTAAGGTGGGAGGATTGCTTGAGCCTGGGAGGTCATGGCTGCAGTGAGATGAGATCACACCACTGCACTCTAGCCTGGGCAACAGAGCAAGACCTTGTCTCAAAAACCACAAAAACAAGAAAAACCACAAAACCGGACACCAGTAATATTCGATTAGGGCTCACCTTAATGACTTCATTTTAATTTAATTACCTCTTTAAAGACCCAATCTCCAATTACAGTCACATTCTGTGGTACTGGGGGTTAGGACTTCGATGTATGGATTTTGGGGGGTACACTGCCCATAACAGCAGTTATTAGCAAACTTTGTCTGGCAAAGCTTAAGACAGAAAACATTTTAGGCTTTGTGGGTAGTTATCAGTACTCAGGTTTGCCGTTATAGCACAAAGGAGCTATAGAGAATATATAAATGAATGGACATGGCTGTCTTCCAATAAAACTTTATCTGTAAAAACAGGTGGCAGACCCCTGGGCCATAGTTCCCCGGCCCCCTGCTTCTGTTGGTTAGCCCCTTTTCCATGTGTTCATTTCTCCATGGTCTCTGCCCCTTCAGCAGAGGTGGTAATAGCTTCCCACTACTGCTTATCCCTGGGTGTCACACTTTCCCTCTTGGTTCCGTTAACCCTGATGATGCCTTTTTTGGCCCCTTCATTCAGTTCTCCTTGGGTAAATACCTTTTGAGTGTATATTCTCTTTCTGGTTTGGACACTTACTGATATTTTATATCTGAACTTCTAAGCTTGAAAGGGCCAGGTATTGTGGCTCATGCCTGTAGCTCCAGCACTTTGGGAAGCCAAAGTGGGCAGATCATGAGGTCAGGAGTTCGAGACCAGCCTGACCAACATGGTGAAACCCTGTCTCTACTAAAAATACAAATATTAGCCGGGCATGGTGGCGCATGCCTGTAATCCCAGCTACTTAGGAGGCTGAGGCAGGAGGATCGCTTGAACCCAGGAGGCAGAGGTTGCAGTGAGCCAAGATCATGCCACTGCACTGCAGCCTGGGTGACAAGAGGGACTCGTCTCAAAAAAAAAAAAAAAAAGAGTCATACTGAGGCCAGGCATGGTGGCTCATGCCTGTAATCCTAGCATTTTGGGAGGCCTAGGCAGGCAGATCACTTGAGGCCAGGAGTTCGAGATCAGCCTGGCCAACATGGCAAAACCCTGTCTCTACTAAAATTACAAAAAATTAGCTGGATGTGGTGGCCGTGCCTGTAATCCCAGCTACTCAGGAGGCTGAGGCATGAGAATTGCTTGAACCCAGGAGACAGAGGTTGCAGTGAGCCAAGATCATGCCACTATACTCCAGCCTGAATGGCAGAGTGAGACCTTGTCTGTCTCCAAACAAAATAACAACAACAGTAATAATAATAATGAAAGAAAAGGACCAATTTAGAAGGTAAAACTGATATGGGTTGCCTCTTGTCTCTGAAGGGTGCCCCAGCCAGAGAGGGGCTAAGATGAAGAGGACAACAGGTGCTCACAGGTGAGAACCAACAGGGGGCCTGGGCAGGGAATGTGCTCAGGACCTGACCAAGCCAAAAGAGGGACAAGACCACCTGGGATGCAAGTCACAGGCTTCAGTGCCCCCACATCTGGGGGTCAGCTTGGACCACTCCACCTCAGCAGGCCCAGGGCAAGCAGCAGCCCAGGCCAGGGACTCTGCAGCTGTGGCCAGCAAGGACCCAAAGGCCACTGCCTCCCTCTGCCACCACACAGGTGAGCCACAGTCCTCCACACACCCAGGCACCATCTCATGGAGAGGCAGGAAGGAAAACATGAGGGACTGGGAAGTTTTTTTGTTTCACTTAAAGAGGCTAACCATGACTTCTAAAAACCTGCATCAAATTAGGTTTACAGGATTTGACTAAAAGTACTTTATCCAGCAGCCAGGACCTGTGTGGAAAATCAGAGGAATTATAAACAAATAAAGGCAAGACATTTTCTCGGCACCCCCAAGAGAAGTGTGGGGAATTTTGAGAGTGGCTATAGCTGGTTTAGCCTGGCAGCCCCACACTAGCTAGAAAAATGAGGCTGAGCTTCAAGGGCTGAAATAGGCTCTCAGGGATTTTAGATGCAAACGTGTTCTTTGGTAAAGCCGTGAGAACCACAAAAGCTAAGGCCAGTTTCATCAAAAGATAGAGAGGTGATTCTGCGACCCACCTAACCTCGGAGCCAGTCCTCAGTTCTCACCCACAACACTCACAGTCAGAGGGCCTGGGAACCTCGCTCAATCTCATTTCACTCCTTCTCTGCCGGCTGCTGGAGTCCCCAGGAAATGAAGCCAGCAGGCTGCCAGCCGGCCTCAGCCCTCCTCCTTCCTCTTCCTTCGCTCTCCTCCTGTGCTGCTCAGGAAGTTGCACACATTTCCCCTGCCTTTGGTGCTGGCCAGCAGTACAGATGTCTGCCCCCTTCACCTGCCACCTGAGGCCACCGGGTAGGAAATGAGGAGGGCAAGCTTATGGGAAGGGAAAGCAAACTCAGGGCAACAGCATGGCCACGGGGCACAGGGATGGAGAGCACCCATTTATTTAGATGAGATTGTGGGCCCTTGCCTTATTTAGGGATCCCAATCCCGGATATGCTTATAAATCTGTATCAAAAATGCCTTCACTCATCCAGAACAATCTGGAGGGGCAAGTGCTGTCCTGGCTGGACAGTAAGAAGGATGCAAAAGAAATTGTTAAAAAATAACAGACGTTGTTTCAATCATTCATTCAACCAGCAGTTATCAAGTGCCTGATTTGAGCAGTTGGGTGTTTTAGGCACTGGGGATAGGGTGATGAATAAGATAATAGTGTGGGAGGGAGGCAAGAAACTGACACCTACAGCATGCATGTATACACATGTGCATACTGTACACCTATGTGCATATGTCTACATACAAAGTACATGCCTGCTATACACAGATATGTGTACATACAACACATTATGTAGCATAAAGTAGAGGTGAGTGACATGAAGAAAAGCAAAGCCAGGTTAGAGGAGAGAGAGGGTCAGGGAGGCCCCCTGAGGAAGCCCCTCCTAGGGAGAAGGGCCAGCAAGTTTGGAAAAGGCCTTTCTGTTCTCCAGGGGCTCTCCTTGGGCCTTACCAAACCCTTTCCCTCAAGCCTCACATCAGTCCTACTGGCAAGTCAGGGAAACTCAGGACTAGAAATACTAGTCAGGATTTGAATCTTTATCTCTTAGCTGCCCCAACTCTTAACTACTATGAAGGCCAGGCACCGTGGCTCATGCCTGTAATCCCAGCACTTTGGGAGGCTGAGGTGGGTGGGTCATCTGAGGTCAGGAGTTTAAGACTAGCCTGGCCAACATGCCAAAACCCCATCTCCTAAAATACAAAAATTAGTTGGGCATGTTGGTGGGTGCCTGTAATCCCAGCTACTCAAGAGACTGAGACAAAAGAATTGCTTGAACCCAGGAGGTGGAGGTTGTAGCAAGCCAAGATCATCCTACTGCACTCCAGCCTGGGCGACAGAGAGAGACTCCATCTCAAAACAAACAAAAAAAACCTGTGAAGCCTGAAGCCCCAAGTCTTCCAGAAACTCCCATCTCATCAGAAAGCCCCCAAACAAGGAAGCAACATACTGAGGGGTTGAGAGCACAGCCGGGAGAGCAGATTCTCTGGGTTCCTGGGTCAGCCAGTGGGAGGCAGTAACAGAAGTAGAGGACCCGGAGTGTGAGGGCGGAACGGCCGGGGTATTCATCCCCTTGCCCCCTCTGCCTCCTGCCTTGGTAGTAGCTCGTTCTGCTGTAGCAGCCGCCAGGATGTTTTTTCTGTCAAGGGCCAGATGGTAAATATTTCAGGCTTTGTGGACCATATGGTCTCTGTTGCCACTGCTCCATCCTAACTATCCCACTCACTGGGGCTTTGGGGAAATTATTTGACCCTCCCACCAGGCCTCTATTTCCTCACTTATAAAAGGGAAATCGAAAGACTTCTGACTTCGGGGGTTGTTGAAAGTATTACATCACATAACATCTGTAAAATGCCTGGCACAAAATAAGCGCTAAACACTGCCGCTGCTGTCGTAGAGCAGGCCTTCCGCTTCTCCGGGTTCCACACCCACCAATCACAGATGGAAGATATTTGAAACACAAAGCACTAAATAACAATAATACAACAATAAAAAATCGTGCAAATAAAAAGCAATATAGTGTAACAACTATTTACATAGCATTTACATTGTATGAGACATGATAAATAATCTAGAGATGATTTAAGTATACAGAAGGAAGTGTATAGGTTATATGCACATACTACACCATTTTATAGAAGGGACTTGAGAATTCTTGGATTTTGGTATCTTATGGGAGACCAATCCCCTGTGAATACTGAGGGATGACTGTATTTACCCCACCCCTTGCAAGTCAGCAGGTGATTAAGGACTGGCAGATCACCTGTCCTACCCTCACGCCTGATCCCAGCTGTAAAGACGTCTCTCTCTGGCGTCTCTATCAGGAGAGGCCCAACCGAAGATTGACTGAGCTCAAACAGAAGCAGCCCCTTGGAGGAGAAGTCAGGCCGTTGCACAAACATTACCTTAATTTATCTTGTTGAATGTCTCACAGCAATTCTGTCCATTTGATAGAAAGGGAAACTTAGGGTATGGATGATAAGAATTGCTAGTTTATGACACCATCCTGTTCTGATGCACCATTTCCTCACAGATGGGGAGGTATTCAGCTGAGAAAGCACAGGCCAAATGAATGGTCTAGATGTGAAAGAAAAGGTATCCACTTCTCCTTGTTCATTCCTTCCCCAGACATCCTTCAAACTGTCCCCAAGTGCCCAAGGAGCATGCTTCCCTCCCATGTTCCTTCCCAGCAGGGTCTATGTAGACCTCCTGCTGGCTCCATCAGACTCCATCAAGACCTACCCTCCCTGTGTTCCATACTCTCTGGACCTCCTAATCTCACAAATACATTTGAATAATAATAAAAGCTGATTTGACAGTGGGATGAGCTCCCAGAGAGCACAGACATTTTAACAAAGCTTTAATTCCTTTGAGGGTGGGACTAGTCATAGTGGGGTTGTGAGGCACCTTGGCAGACCCTTTGAAGATATTTTCATTTGGTTGGGAAAGGAGACACGGAGGCTTTGTTCCATTTGACAGATGAAACAATTGAAGCTCAAAGAATGTATATATCTAGTAATGAATGCCCTCCTATTTAGATCATGCTTGGATATCTGCCATGGAAATCAGAAATATAAATGCTACCACATAGATCAAGAGCTTAGCACAGTAAATATTAGTTATCTGACCTTCTCCCTTTCCAATATTCTAACCTCAGGCTGGAGAAGATATTTAGGTAAAGCATTTAAATAAAGTAAGGAAGGACAATGGAAGCAGGATATTAAAGAGGAAGAGTTCCAATTGGATACAGAGAAGAAGAAATTGAAAAGGGGTTATTTACAGACACATATTGCACATTCATCCAACCACAGTTTAAAAATTGCCAAACCTAACCCATTTTCCATAAATCCATTTACTGACATCTAGAAACCCCACTGAGAAATCTATTTCTGATCTCCTTTTGAAGAGTTACTTAATTCCCAGGGAGCCTGGCCCAGTGGCAAGATATTTCCAAGAAAAGGGAGGGGAATCTAATCTCTATTTGGTTTAATTTTGTTCTGGAACACTTATGAAGGCTCGAATCCAAGGGGAGAAAAAATACACTTCTACTTTAGGCCGCACAGCAAGGACATAGAGAGAAAGCAAAAATTTCCCTTTAAAAAGAGGTAGGCACAACCTCACTCATGTTTGCACCACTTTACAAACATAATTTGCTTGAATTTGGAGGGAAACTGGACTTCCAAGACCAAGGGCAGGTGGAGAAGATGGAAACAAAAATGAATGTTTCCATCTTGTAAAGGTTTGAGAGGGAGTGTACTTTAACAGTGGAAGAGGAATGGATAGATGGATGGATATGGGGGTGGAAATATTAGTGGGGTGGATGTATGGCCGTGTGTGTGTATGGGTAGATAGATAGGAGGATGGATGGATGGATAGATGGGTAGATGGGTATATAAATGGGTGGGTGGATGGATGAAAAGTGGATATATGGATTGATGGATGAATGGATAGATAGGCAGGTGGATAGATTAGTGGGTGGATGTATGGTTATGTTTGTGGATGGGCGGATAGAAGGAGTGTGCATGGATGGATGGATGGATGTGTATATGAGTGAGTGAATGGATGGATGGATGGATGGATGGGTAGGTGATGAATGGGAAGATAGGTGAACTAGATGGCTAGCTAAATCCTGCTTATGCTTGAGTTTTGTTTGGCCTTCATGATGTTTTGAAAACATTTGAATTCGTTGCTTTCATTTAAAGCAGAGAAAATTTTACCTAAAACCTTGATTTCTGGCTTCTCTTGAAAAATCAAGGGACCTGGCAAAACTGAGACCACATTTTTTCATGGCAACAACTGACTAGAGCTGAGTAATGACTGTCCCTTTAAACAGGGCACACATGCTTCAGTCCCCCAGAGTCCCTGCTGGTGCACACTGGCTCTAACACCCGTCAACTTCACTCTGTCACAGTATCTGCCTGCCCAGGAGGCATTCGTTAATGCAATAAGGGACGTAGCAAATATAGCTCCCGTCCTAGTCCATTCAGACTGCTTTAACAAAATACATTAAACTAGGTAACTTATGAATCATAGAAATGTATTGCTCACAGTTCTGGAGGCTGGGAAGTCTATAAACCAGGCACTAGCAGATCTAGTATCTGGTGAAGCCTCACAGATGCTTCATAGATGGTGCCTCTTGCTGCATCCTCACATGGTAGAAGGGACCTGGGAACCTCCTTCAACCTCTTTAGCAAGGTCACTAATCTTATTCATGAAGGCTCTGTCGTCATGACTTAATCACCTCTTAAACGCTCCATCTCTTAATATTATCACATTGGTGATTAAGCTTCAACATATAAATTCTGGGGGGACATATTCAGACCTTTCAGCTAGCAGGCACACAGCAAGTGTATTATCCTCCATGTCCCTTTTTACTACTTCCACTGTCACAGTCCAAGCCTTACAGGATGGAGATGGAGGTTCCATGGGTTACCCAAAACCTCGGTTCTTGCCCCTCTGTATACTTCAGTATGGATATCTAACCTCTTAGCAAAACACTTAAAAGCCCTTCCGGATCCAAGTTCCTACATGCCTGTTAAAGTCTACATTCTATGCCACTGCAAACTCAAATATCTAAACGGGCTTTCCTGTTAGGCAGGACATGAACCAGCAGTTCTTTGCCTTTGTTTGTGTTATTTCCTCTTCCAGGAATGGACCCTCTCACCACTTTTGATCTGTCTGGTTAACTCTTCATCTTTTTTTTTTTTTTTTTTTTATAGAGTTGGTTCCTTTTTTTTTTCCTCGACCCAGGCTAGAGTGCAGTGGTGCAATCTCAGCTCACTGCAACCTCCCCCTGCCGGGTTCAAGCGATTCTCCTGTTCAGCCTCCTGAGTAGCTGGGACTACAGGTGCACACCACCATGCCCAGATAATTTTTGTATTTTTAGTAGAGATGGGGTTTCACCATGTTGGCCAGGATGGTCTCCACCTCTTGTCCTCATGATCTGCCAGCCTTGGCCTCTCAAAGTGCTGAGATTACAGACATGAGCCACCACACCCAGCCAACTCTTCCTCTTTGATCTTAGCTCAAGTATCACCTTCTTGCTGAAGTCTTCTCTGACCACTCTCTCCAGACAGAATGAAATATTCACTTCTCTCTGTCTCCACAACTTGGACAATTATATGAACACAGCCTTCTGTGACTGTCTCTCCCAGGAACCACAGAACCTTGCCTGATCCTCAGGCCTCAGTACTGCTCCTGGTTGGTTTTCAGACACATTTGTTGTTGAATGAGTCATTAGCTATGCTGTACCTATCTAGCCATTGAGATATCAAGGAAATGTTTTACTGCCATGGTCAGTCAGGTTGTGCACCATACCACTGCAGGAACCACCACTGATGTAGATTAAAATAGCAATGAGCCCCCAGATTGCACAGTACACAACAGTATAGGTGGAGGACCTGCCCATAGTCCATCCTGGCCTTGGATGATGTGGTCCTTCCTCATAATTATATCCAGTTACAGTTGCCTTCTACTGAGTGTCACCCAGTCCAGAGGCCCTCACTGAGTGAAAGGGACATCTATTATCCCACAATAAATCTATTCAGTACAGAGCCTCATCTTCTTCCTCATAATCTTTCTCTCCCTCTATTTTGGTTCTAGGCCTTAGTTCCTGACAGCCCCTCTGAAGGTATCTATAAGTTCTTTTCAACTCTGATTCCAAGGGTGGGGCTTACCAAACTATTTTCCATGCCACATGTCCCTCCTGCCTTCCTTCTTACCCAATCCTGAAGCTGAAAGCCATGCCCCTCCCATCCTCAGCATCCTCAGTTCAATGCTTCTTTCTAGGAGCTGGGCCAACACTTGGTGGTCTGCACTAATCAGGTTGTCCAGGTTTCCTGGGATTTTGTTTTTGGTTTTTTCCCTGAAGCCTGTATGCTTTGAAGTAGTTCCTTATACTCTACCCCGCAAGCTAGGTAAGACTATCCTGGCAGCCAAACTGCTATTGACCCAGAGTCACCTGACCTTTTCTGGCTACCTTCAGGTGAGGACAGTGATTGCTCTGCACGCCTTCATCTCTACTCAGCCCCACCTCCGTTTATTGAATTGTCATATGATCTACAGCCTAAGAATAGTCCCATGAGTTCCAGAGAAGTGGGCCTAACCTACCTTCCACAGGTTCTCCACGCTGCCCTGGGTGAAGCCCTTGTGAATCAGAGGGGCAGGGGTCTTGGCGCTTAGAAAAGGATCAGACAATACGAGGAAGTCCAGTTTTCCAGTGGAGAAAACTGGACTTACAAAAGTATAAAACTTACAAAATAAGTTTGCAACTCTCTGTGGAGTTTGTCATTTCTTCCAACATGGGGACAGTCTGTGTCTGTATTTCCTTTCCCATCGTGGCTGGAACACGGTGCATTACTAAATGTCAACGGCTGATGTGTAGGTCTAATATGGCCGTCACTGCTCTTAACCCCTCCCTCTGGTAGCGGTAACTGCTGCAATGAGTTACTCCTCCATTTCATTGGATTATGGGGGCTGCCTGCCTGACCACTGGTCTCGGCATGTGACCTAAGCCAGATAATCAAATAGCCCATCCCCCTAGCCATAGGAACTTGCCAGGAGAAGGAGGGCATGTGACCCACACAGACAAATTAGGGGTTTTCCCTGGAATTTTATACACAGGCTCCAGGAAAGAGAAACACCTTTCTTCCTCTGGAGTTTCCAACTAGCTTACATAGTTTGGGACCAGGCCTCCCTCCCACTCTTCCTCTCTTTTGCCTCTGGAACGTATGAGGTCATACACTGAGAGAAGCAGACTTGGAGGTGAGAAGAGAAAACGATGACAAAAAAGAATTGGAGAGAAAAGGAGAGGAAAAAACAGTGGAGGGAAGAGAGAAGCCCTCCAGGATCCAGCATATTTTTTAATATTTGAGACGGAGTCTCTCTCTGTCACCTAGTCTGGAGTACAGCGAGGCAGTTTCAGCTCACTGCAGCCTCAATCTCCCAGGCTCAAGCAATCCTCCTACCTCAGCCTCCTGAATAGCTGGGACTACAGGTTTGCGCCACTGTGCCTGACTATTTTATCTTATTTATTTTGACCTCTGAACTTTTTATTGGCCTCCTGCTCCCCCAAGAGCACCCTGCTTCTGCCTGCTTAGTGTCTCAGAACTTTGGTGTCGTTGGTTTCAGACACCACTTTGCCATCTACTATCCGGTGGGTGGTGGTCTTGTTTTATTTTTTTTTTTAAATATACATTTTATTGCATTTTAGGTTTTGGGGTACATGTGAAGAACATGCAAGATTGTTGCATAGGTACACACATAGCAATGTGGTTTGCTGCCTTCCTCCCCATCACCTATATCTGGCATTTCTCCCCATGTTATCTCTCTCCAACTCCCCATCCCCGGCTGTCCCTCCTCTAGTTCCCCACAACAGACCCCAGTGTCTGATGCTCCCCTCCCTGTGTCCATGTGTTCTCATTGTTCAACATCCACCTATGAGTGAGAACATGCATTGTTTGATTTTCTGTTCTTGTGTCAGTTTGCTGAGAATGATGGTTTCCAGGTTCATCCATGTCCCTACAAAGGACACAAACTCATCACTTTTTTATGGCTGCATAGTATTCCATGGTGTACATATGCCACATTTTCCCTGTCCAGTCTATCATCGATGGGCATTTGGGATGGTTCCAGGTCTTTGCTATTGTAAACAGTGCTGCAATGAACATTCGTGTGCATATGTCCTCATAATAGAACGCTTTATAATCGGCACCCTATCGTCAAAATGGAAAGAGCTAGAGTAGCAAGATTTAAAAAAAAAAACAAAACTCCAAACCTAGCAGAAGACAAGAAATAGCTAAGATCAGAGCAGAACTGAAGGAGATATAGACACACAAAACCTTTCAAAATATCAATAAATCCAGGAGCTGATTTTTTGAAAAGATCAATAAAATAGACAGACTGCTAGCCAGATTAATAAAAAAGAAAAGAGAGAAGAATCAAACAGATGCAATAAAAAATAAAGGGGATATCACCACAGATTCCACTGAAATACAAACCACCATCAGAGATTACTACAAACAACCCTATGCATGTAAACCAGTAAATCTGGAAGAAGTGGATAAATTCCTGGACACTTGCCTCCTCCCAAGCCTAAACCAGGAAGAAGTCGAAACCCTGAATAGACCAATAATAAGGGCTGAAGTTGAAGCAGCAATTAATAGCCTGCCAACCAAAAAAAGCCCAGGTCCAGATGGGTTCACAGCCGCATTCTTCCAGACATATGAAGAGGAGCTGGTACCATTCCTTCTGAAACTATTCCAAACAATACAAAAAGAGGGAATCCTTCCCAAATCATTTTATGAGACCAACATCATCCTGATTCCAAAACCCGGCAGAGATTCAATAAGAAAAGAAAACTTCAGGCCAATATCCACGGTGAGCATAGATGCGAAAATCTTCAATAAAATACTGGCAAACCTATTGCAACAGCACATCAAAAAGCTTATCCGTCACGATCAAGTAGGCTTCATCCATGGGATGCAAGGCTGATTCAACATACACAAGTCTATAAACGTAATTCACCACATAAACAGAACCAAAGACAAAAACCACATGATTATCTCAATAGATGCAGAGAAGGCCTTCAACAAAATTCAGCCCTTTATGCTAAAAACTCTCAATAAACAAGGTATTGACAGAACGTATCTCAAAATAATAAAAACTATTTATGACAAACCCACAACCAATATCATACTGAATAGGCAAAAACTGGAAGCATTCCCTTTGAAATCTGGCACTAGACAAGGATGTCCTCTCTCACCACTCCTATTCAATAAAGTATTGGAAGTTCTAGCCAGAGCAATCAGGCAAGAAAAAGAAATAAAGGGTATTCAATTAGGAAAGGAGGGAGTCAAATTGTCTGTATTTGCAGACAACATGATTGTATATTTAGAAGACCCCAGCGTCTCAGCCCCAAATCTCCTGAAACGATAAGCAACTTCAGCAAAGTCTCAGGTGGTGGCCTTTTGGATGGTTTGCATTGAGTTGCTGCTGTCCAGGGTGTGACTAAGATTGAAGTCCTCGCCATGTTCCAGCAGGTGGCGGTAGGTGGTAATCTCAGCCTCCAGCTTGACCTTGATGTTCAGCAGGGCCTCCTACTCCTCAGCCTGGCACTGCCCCTCTGCCCGGGTCTGTGCCAGCTCTGACTCCAGGTGCAGCAGAATCCCGTTGAGATACTCTATCTGCAGGGCAAAGCAGGCCTCCACCTCCCTCAGGCTGTTCTCCAAGCTGGTCTTCAGATTTCTCAT